TTACTAGTCTCAATACATATTTTAGGAGCAGCTTTCTCTCCGCTGCTTAGCATCCAGTAAATTGTACAGCTCGCTTTTTTATTATATTTATTATTAATCACAAAGCCATGGTTTAAAACTCTGAGATTATTACACAGCCACATTATTATATACATACATTTCTACGCGGCAGTTAAGTAAATTGGAACCACAAAGTACTGTTTGTCAGTTTAAAGCCTTCTTCTCCCCCTTCCTCAACGCAGTACTAAGTAGCTACTTCGCTGCGTTCTGCAGGGTTATTTTATTTTATTAAAAGTCATTTGCCAAGTTAATTAAAAATTACATCAGATTCCGTATATACACACACAAAATGTCCATCACGTTGGCTAAATGTTGCTTTCCCCCCTCCTTTTCTTTTTAAAGACTTCGGTACCGTCAACACATTAGCAGCGCCAACCTGCAGCGAGCATAGGCACAATAGCACATTGCTGGGGGGGGGGGGGAAGCTTGAGCAACTCATGACCCACCAGCCCAATAAATATACATGGGGACCCAGACAGGGCACAATAATCCTCCTGGGTTTCTTTTGCGGCCCGCCTGGGCCTGCAGAATTAGGGAGGCTGGTAATCGCCTGGGCAGGCTGTGTTTAGCCTTATGGGTCACAAGTTGTACAAACCCAATTTAGAAAAAAAGTGGGGAGGGAATAACAACACACTTGTACTTCTAAGTCAGGCTTCCTCCAACTCGGCTCTCCAGATGTTTTTGGGCCTACAACTCCCATGATGATCCCTAGCTAGCAGGACCAGTGGTCAGGGATGATGGGGATTGTAGTCTCAAAACATCTGGAGGGCCGAGGTTGAGGAAGCCTGGTCTAAGTCTTCGCCATCAGTGCAGCCAGATAAACCTTCGTGGGGAAAACCTCGTGGATAAAGAAAGAGAGGACCTAATCTTTTGAAACCTGGAGACGACCCGTGTTTTGTTTGTTTTCAACCAGAACAGAATACTCTAAAATACTTCCATCCAACATTTTAGCCAGATGTGGGGAGAATCAGAAGCCAGGGAGTTTGGTTCCAGAGCTTGGGTCAAACTGTATGGCAGCCATACAGGGGAAGGGAGGGGAATGGCAAAAAGGAGACATGTGTGCACATCTTTCAACCACTGAGGGATCAGTGGCGCTGGAGGCATTTGCTGGATCGGCTTTGGGTCTCTTCCAGGTTCATCATTGCTCTTGTGTCTGTGGGCAGTGGTGAAGCATGCAGTCAACCCCATGGTTTAGTGTGTGAGAGGACAGAGCCTCCAGAGTGCAGACATAATAATAATAATAATAAATTTTATTTATATCCCGCCCTCCCCAGCCGAGCCGGGCTCAGGGCGGCTAACAACAGTCAAATAACAATCAAATAATAGCACATTCTAAAAATATTTCGTTATAAAAATTAGTTAAAATCAAATTGATGGCAACCGATTAAACAAAATTCTGTGCAGGTTGCCGGAGGAGGGAGTCAGGCTGCGCCCTGACCAAAAGCTTGGCGGAACAACTCTGTCTTGCAGGCCCTGCGGAAAGATGTCAGATCCCGCAGGGCCCTAGTCTCTTGTGACAGAGCATTCCACCAGGTTGGAGCTGCAGCCGAGAAGGCCCTGGCTCTAGTTGAGGCCAGCCTAACCTCTCTGAGGCCTGGGACCTTGAGGGTGTTATTATTTGTGGACCGTAGGTTTCTCTGTGGGGCATACCAGGAGAGGCGGTCCCGTAGGTACGAGGGTCCTAGGCCGTATAGGGCTTTAAAGGTTAAAACCAGCACCTTAAACCTGATCCTGTACTCCACCGGGAGCCAGTGCAGCTGGTATAGCACCGGATGAATGTGATCCCGCAGCGAAGACCCCGTAAGGAGTCTCGCTGCGGCATTCTGCACCCGCTGGAGTTTCTGGGTCAGTCTCAAGGGCAGCCCCACGTAAAGCGAGTTACAATAATCCAGTCTGGAGGTGACCGTCGCATGGATCACAGTGGCTAGGTCAGGGCGAGAGAGATAAGGGGCCAACTGCTTAGCTTGGCGGAGATGGAAAAATGCCGCCTTTGTTATAGCTGTAATCTGCGCCTCCATAGAAAGGGAGGTATCGAAGATTACACCCAAACTCTTAACGGACGGTGCTGGCACTAATTGCACCCCCGCAAGAGATGGGAGTTGCCCCCTCGATCCCATATCGTCCCGCCCCAGCCAGAGGACCTCTGTCTTCGAAGGATTTAACTTCAACCGGCTCCCACGTAACCATCCAGCCACAGCTTCCAGACATCTGGTCAGTGTGTCTGGGGCCGAGTTAGGATGGCCATCCATCAACAGATAGAGTTGGGTGTCATCAGCATACTGGTGGCAACCCAGCCCAAAACTCCGGACAAGCTGGGCGAGGGGGCGCATAAAGATGTTAAAAAGCATCGGGGAGAGAATCGCACCCTGAGGCACTCCACACACCAAGGAGTGACGCGATGACAATTCCCCCCCAAGCGCCACCCTCTGTCCCCGATCAGAGAGAAACGAGCGCAGCCATTGAAGGACTGTGCCCTGGATCCCCACGTCGGCAAGGCGGTGGTCCAGGAGTTCGTGATCCACCATGTCAAAGGCTGCTGACAGATCTAGAAGAATCAGCAGCCCCGACCCACCTCGATCCAGCTGCCTGCGGAGATCATCTGTTAGGGCGACCAGAGCCGTCTCGGTCCCATGACCAGCACGGAAGCCGGACTGGAATGGATCCAAAGCAGATGTTTCATCCAGAAACCTACCAAGCTGTTCAGCAACCGCTCTCTCAATCACCTTACCCAGGAATGGAAGATTCGAGACCGGGCGGTAATTGGATAGATCTAAGGGATCTAACGATGTTTTCTTTAAGAGCGGACGCACCACCGCCTCCTTCAATTCCCCTGGGAATATCCCGGTGCCAAGGGACAAATTGATGATATCCCCCAGGGGGGCCCGCACCTCGTCTGGACACGCTCTAATCAGCCATGACGGGCACGGGTCAAGAGGACAGGTGGTGGGCTTTCCAGCTTGGAGGAATCTGTCCACATCGGCTGGAGATATCCGGTCAAAGTGGTCCAATACTGGACCCGAGGACAGTCGAGGGGCCTCCAGTTCCTTTATTGTATCCAAATTGGCAAGGAGGTCATGGCGGAGCAACAGGACCTTCTCCGCAAAAAAGCTCGCAAATGCCTCACAGCTGTGTGTCCGATTGTTATTTAAATTTGGCTGTCCTTCAAGGGACGTTAATGACCGGATTATACTAAATAATTGCGCCGGGCGAGAGCTAGCGGATGCAATGGAGGCCGAGAAGTAAGACTTCTTAGCGGCCTTCACTGCCATCTCATAGGTTTTCATAAAAACCCTATAAGATGTTCTTGAGGCTCCGTCACGGGCACCCCGCCATACTCGCTCTAGCCGTCTGAGGTCCCGCTTCATTTTCCGAAGCTCCTCGGTAAACCAGGGAGCCCGGTTTCTGCGGGGTCGCAGAGGGCGCTTAGGTGCGATCTCATTGATGGCTGCCAGGAGCTGGGTATTCCAGCCCTCAACAAGCTCAGTCAATGAGTCGCCAGGGGGAGCAAGGTCCCGCAAGGCTTGACGGAATCTATCAGGGTCCATCAGCCTCTGCGGGCGAGCCCAAATCGGCTCGCCACCTAAGCAGGGTGGGGGTGGAAAGTCAATCCTGGCTTTCAGAGCGTAGTGATCAGACCATGGCACCTTCATCGAGGGAGACATGATCACATCTATACCGGCGCCAAAGATCAAATCCAGCGTGTGGCCTGCTTGATGTGTGGGGCCCGAAACAAACTGGGAGAGCCCTAGTGTCGCCATGGAAGACACCAGGTCCAGAGCCTGTGAGGAGGGAGTGGCATCAGCATGGATGTTGAAGTCCCCCAATACCAATAGGTTAGGGAACTCCAAGGCCCAGCCGGCCACCGCCTCCAATAGGCCTGACAGGGTGGCTGCTGGTGCGCTAGGTGGCCGGTACACCAGCCAGACAGCCAAGCTCTCCTCAGAGCCCCACACTAGGCCAACACATTCAATGCCGGGGATCGATGGCGATGGCAGAGCCCTGAAAGAACAGTCTTCTCGGATTAATAATGCCACCCCTCCCCCCCGGCCCACAGTCCGCGACTGGTGGAGGACGGAGAAACCCGGGGGCGCCATCTCTCGTAAGGTAACAGTTTCCCCTTCGCGCACCCAGGTCTCCGTCACACAAGCCAGGTCAACCCCCTGCGAGGTGAAGAAGTCTCGCAGGGTGGCGGTTTTTTTGCCTATAGACCTGGCATTGCACAACACCAGTGACGGAGGTGAGTAATCCTTGCTCACCCTACCTTCGTCCCTCGGGATGGGGCGCAGATTGGAAGGGGTACGAGCATATCCATATCTCGATCCCCTTCGCCTATGACATCTGCCCCCACCGCCATACCTCCCTCGCCCCACATAGCTGAATAGGTCAGCTCAAAAATGGGATTTGGCCAGGGGTGATTGGACTCCGGTTCCCATGAGCCTCAGCCCAGCTGTCCACAACATCTGGAGGAACCTAGGCTCTGGATTAGGCCATGGGCACTGGCCCCCTTGCTTCAACTTATGACCAAAACAGACGGGGCAGATCTGTGATCAGAAATCCCAATTAAAAAACAAAACATCTCAGCATAGCCTAAGGACACACGTGTGAATTGAATCAGAACAGCCACGCTGAGGAGGGTGTGTATGGTACTTCCCACCGCCACTGTTATCCTAATCAAAACCGCAATTAGCTCCGCTTGGGGGAAAGGACAGGCTTAGCACAGGTTCAGATCTCTGGTCAAGATGTGAGCATGTGAAGCACTGGGACAGTAGCGGCTTCACATGCACTGCTGCCCATTCCTGGACATTTGAGCCGAGCAGGACAGCTGCTGCTCAGACAGGACTGACTCCATGTGCACTTCACCCAAATCAGTGGGATACAGTCCCCCAGAGATATTCTGCCGGCCTGCTCTCTTCCAGCCACCCCGCAAGATTTTTCCCCCGCTATCAAAGCAAAATGGGAGTGGAGGGAGAAAGCAACATACATACCCACCCACCCACCCAAGGTTGCAGGCCCTGATTGCAAAGCATTTCGCTACAACGAATTTGCTGGCTTCCGATTAACAATGAGGGAGCACTTCGGCATTAGACTTTATACCTACAATCATCTCTTAAGGGCCTAATGGTACAGCAGCGCTAGCCCAATCAAGGGCATAAAAGTCTATTGCTCTCAAGAAAAACAAGACGCTCAAGCACATTGTGGGAACTGACAAGGAAGCAAAGGAGCGAGGGGGTGCCAGAAACACAGGAATACAAATTGAGGTGGGGTGGGGGGGAAACAGCTCAAACGTTTCTGAGACCAGCACAAAAAACCCTGCTGGGATATGAACCGGCCACCTTTGGTGCCGATGTTCCCAAATCATAACTGCGCATTTCTGTCTTTACAGAAGTAAAGGGCAAGCTATGATTTGAACATGGAAGGGTAGTGTTTCGAAGTGCACCTGAGACGGGCTCTGAAACTGGCCTGCACGGCTCACAGCTCACCAAGTCAAATTCAACCCTCCAAAGGCTCAAGGAGCCCATTGTTTACATCAACTTGCTGGGACAGCAAGAACACGGTGCAATGTGGGCGTTGATGTGGGTGAAAGGAGAAGGAAGGAGAAAGCAGGTGCCTGGTAGGCTACAATCTACAGCCCGTATGCTGCCTTGACTTTGGTGGATCACCAGTTATGGAGGTATATATTTTTTGCAGCCCACCAGAAACACCCTCTGGTTAAGCCACAGTGAAAATTAATAGGCATTCCTGGCAGACTGTGCCTGTGGTACACTCAAAAGAACACTGGATGTGATGGGCAGCCCCGGTGCCAGACACAAAAGGCAACATCAATGGTGTACGCGACAAAGAGCGATAAAAGCATCTTGGTTTCTCAAAGTTGGTTCTGAAAAGACAAAACTCTTATTATTACAGGAATAGCCGATGCTTTTCAAGGGATCAAAACCTCTTTGTCGGGGCTGAAGGGAAATGCCATCTCTAGGAAAGAGTGGCGCTTAAAAGACGCCTTTTAATCTTTCCGTTAAACACTGTTCGCGTTGCACTTTTGTGTATTTACAGAAAGCCCTGAAATGCAGCCACCATGGTCAAAAGCAACTCGCTTAATGAACCCATTAAACAAAAGTTGCTTTCTGGCTGCATTTCAGGTAGCCCTCTGTGGGTGTACAGAACATTAGTGTGACGCAGGAGAAGGATACCACATCGCAGCATGCTCACTCCCACCTGCAGCTGACATGCTGGCTTTCGTGCTTGCATCAGGCACATACACAGTGCCTGGCCCACGTGGACCCGAAGCACGTGCTCTGCGAGCCATCAGATTTGAAGGGGACAGATCCTAGGGTTTGGACCAACATACATTGGACTCCATGTGCAAACATGAAATCCAGCACTCAGAAGGCAGGCAAGAGTGGTGTGGACCAGCACAAACCCATCATTTGCCAAGCATATGTTCCAAATATCTGTGCAGGCCTTCTATAGTCACTGACACTCACGGTATATTAGCAGTTCTGTGTGCGAATGATGAAAGTATTGTATTTGATTGCACCTCTGCCCTCCCCTCCATCAAAACACACATTTGAGATTTAAAAATGAAGACCTAATGCACTGCAGAACTGCCTTTGGATATGCAAATGTGGGTGGCGGGCTCAAATACCATCGACATCCTAGACACATGCTACAATTCGCAGACAGTCCTGATAGAATAAGCACCATTTATTGGCTGTATCAGAATGCCTTTGCTTTGGGTGTCAAACCTTCTCCTTTCTATGTGAGCCATAGGCAGTAGCATCTCTGCTCTGGATAACCCAGAATGCTCACTCCTGGGTTACTGAGACAATGTACAGAAGAACGTCAATAAACCCCCATCCCAAGTGAATGGGATGGTTTATAAATTAAGTTAACCAAAGAAAAAAGAAAAAAAGAAAAAGACATAAAATGTACTTTGTGGATGCAGTCCATGAATACACACGCCTCCATTTTAGACTCTGTAATTCTGTTGCCACACGTGAACACACAATCAATTGTAGTGTCAGGTCAAAAAGCAGCTTACTGAGGTTTTAGGCAACAAGGTCATTTGCTCAATTAGCTACACGAACGTAACAAACAACCGCCATGGTCGTCACGCTGAACATACAAACCTATTGCTATGTTTATGACAATCCAACCTTTTCGTCCGTTTTCAATGCTCACTTTCAGCTTTCGTCAACATTTAACAGAGCTGTGAAATAGTGTCAGTTTGCATATGCCTTTATCTGAATTGTCCTGTATGAAGATCATGAATCTTGGATGACCACCAACCCCAGACGTGCAACCACTGCATGCTCCTCCCCTGGCCTTTCAGGTGAGCACGTGTCGTTTCTCAAAGCAGGACTGATTCATGCATGGACAACCCGTCAGTCTGGTGTCTGTAGTGGTGTGCAGGGCTTGGGGAACTAGGATACTGGTAGTGTGGCAAGCCGAGCTCTTCAGAGGGTGGGGAAGTCCTGTATCTTATAGGGCTATCCACTGAAATGGTGGAGAGATTATGTTCTTTAACAGGTGTCAATTGAAAAGGCGGGTATCTCCTCAAGTTAGCCAAGTGGCTTCGGCTACCATCTTGGCTCCAGGACTGCGTGTAAGAATCAGGCCACTTTCGACTGTCTGGCAAATAATCTGCTGGGGGGATTACAAATCTGGTGACATTGGGCGACTTAGGTTTGCTTGCATAAGTTTCAACTGGGAGGACTTCGATTCGACTAGAAGGAGTCACGACCACATGCTGGTGGTTGACAGCGTAATTTCTATGTGGTCTATCAGTAAACATCTCTGTTGGAAGTTCAGGGATGTAGGGCCGGCTGGGAGAGCCGGTTCGATTCCCGTAATTATACTGTGTGGCTACGAAGCTGGAATGAACCATGTTGGTAACATGCTTTGGGGAATTTCCATGGTAAACAGGTGGGTTACTGTAAGACGGTGGCGGCGGCTTGAAGTTATGTCCAATATCTGCCCCATCAGACTGGGAAGAGAATCTGGGGGCTCTTGGTTGTGAGCTGAAGGCGTAACTGTTGGATATTTTTGGTGGACTAGATGTTTTCTCTGTCGACTTCCTTGAACCGAGGGAGTAAGCTGTGTTCCTCGGACTTTGCAGGATTGCCCTTTCTAGCACCTCTTCCACAGAATTGTCGTTCTCTGGGTCACCACCAGGCACATTGTCATACTGCGACGCATTTGACTCTCGCTTACCCTCATCGACATCCAAAGCCCTGATCTTTTGCTTCACGTTGAATGCCTGTCCCTCAGGTCCAGGACTCGGTGGCATTCCCGAACTGGCATGGTTTGCAGATCGAATCTTGATCTCCATGGTCAGCTTTGCAGTCTTTTCGATGATTTTGACGTCCGAAGGCTTAATCCACCTGGGCACAAATTCCTTTCCTGTATTTAAAGTAGCGTTGGAATTTTGGTTAGCAGATGCATTATAATTTTGCTTGGAGTCAGACTCTGGCTGAACTTCAGGTTTTTTCCTGGGGCTCTCCAAGTCATGCTTTAGCAACCCACTCCGCACATTAGCCGTCGCGGGCTTTTGCTGTCTCCTTTCCAGCGAATCCTTTCTCCTCCGGTGGCCTGGCGAGCTTTCCTGGCCTCTCTCTATAGATGCTCTGCGTCCTCCCCTCTGGCTAGCCCGGCCATTGCTTGCTGCACTAGTGCCGCTCTGCCCATTGACCAGATGAGTAAGATTAAGCATGGCAGGCTGAGATTCGGGCGGAACTTTCCCCAACTTCTTTGGAAGTTCGTCATCTTTACCTATAAGAATAGACACCAAAATAAGCATTACATATATAAACTAAACTCTTGCCATGGATCCCTCCCTGTGGCAAAGGAAGTTAATTGGCTCCCTGCCTCCACCCGCTCTTCTCCCAAAGAACACATGTCAATGTATGAATTACATAAAGCAACAAGAACTGAGGGTTCACAGCTGAAATCAAGTCTTAAGAGGATGGTGATTGTAGCAGATTTAGTCTTCTGTCCTATACACGAACTCTCTAACAGTAATAGGAACTGCCAGTGGTCAGCCAGTTTGATACCAAAAGCATGCAAGATATTGAGGCATGCAAGAACTGTCTTACTAACACAAATCAAATTTGGAAACTAATTTTCTGACCTCGAATGGTCTTGGCTATAAAGGCACAATAGTCTAAGCTGTGCTTTTCCTGAAACTGCAGCAGTTCACGGTCTTAATTTTAGATGACAACACAGCCTTCCTTCTGAGTCTACGGTGATTAGGACTGGGGGGGGGGGGGCTCTCCACCTCGTGTGAGTCTTGCATATGTGTACAAAGCAGAGAGAAACTCAATGAACTGAGTTGTACCACAGTTACTCAAAAATGTCACCTCCCTTTCTGAATTAAACCTCTGTTCTCTCTGCTTTCTGAAGAGGAGGGTGGATTTAGAACCTTGCAACCGGGAAGACGCCACGTTCCAAATAAATGTGCCCTCCATACATTTGGTACTTTCTTCCTGCAACATGAGAAGGGGCATGTGCACATGCACCAGTCATTCAAGTTAGAGCAGGGCTGGGAAACCCATTTTGGCCTTCGCCAGAATGGCCAGTAGTGCACCGCTAAAAACACATAGAAGGGACCTCTGGGACTATCGAGTCCAACTCCCTGCACTTCCTCATTTTTTATATACTGGTTCAATGATTAGGGTTTTGTTCTGTATTTTAAGAAAAAAACTTTTGAAATGTACGTAGGTTGATTAATAAGGCGGCTTTATTCTTTTTAATTTAGTACACTTAAGGTCTCTTAATTACCACTAAGCTTTCAAGAAACCCCAGTGAGAATACTATAGACATTTTTATTGAATTCTTTGTTGCTTTGAAGATTACTCTCTGTAATCTCTCTCTCACACACACACAAGTCAGAGGGAGAGGGAGTGTGTTCGCCCCCAGTATGAGTGGCTTAAAACTGTTTAGATGTTGTAGGCTAACACCTGAAGATCTGAAAGGTGTGGGGGATGATATGACAATGACCCTAAACTGCCACACTAGTTCTCCAGTCGAGAGCCTGGGGTTACAAATGAAGAATTAGCAGGGGCACTAACGGGGGGGGGGGGAGCATTCCAAGGTCACAACTGTTGATTGCCAAGACCAAAGCCATGCACAATCAGGGCTCGTGGGTTTCTATCAGATGTGGGAAATAATTGGAAGGAAAGCACATCGGCAACAAAGGCAAAAGGAGAGGAGAAGGGATGAATAGAGCCACAGCTTTAGATCCCAGTCACGTGGCCTCGGCATAAGGCAGATGAACTCTCACTCCAGGCTCAGTGTCAAAAAAGAGCCATGAAACAACACAAAGTATACAGCTTGCTTAGATCTCCCAACATCATTCAGGCCCCTGACTTTTAAGCTGGCCGTATAATCGACAAGGATCTATGGACCGATACACAAAGCCATCTTGTCACTAAAGCCCTGTTTCTCCCCCATGCAACGTGGCACCTGGAGAGGGCAGGGTGGAAGTGGAAAGGGGGTGCTCAGCCCTTTGCCCCCGCCATGAGAAGAAGAACCTGCTCATTCAGGCCAATGCCCAATCTAGCCCAGGATTTTCTTCCCACGGTGGCCAACCAGATGCCTGTGGGATGCCTGCAAGCTGGGCATGAATGCAATAGCACTCTGCCCACCTACGACTGCCAGCAAATGGAGGCATAATGAATAGAGAGTGGAGGGAGAAGGTGGCCATCATTACTGGTAGCATCTAATAGCCCGGCCTTCCATGAATTTGTCTTTTAAAGCCATCCCAGCTGATGGGTCGTCACTGCCTACTGAAGTGGCAAGTTACCGTATTTTTTGCTCTATAAGACTCACTTTTTCCCTCCTAAAAAGTAAAGGGAAATGTGTGTGCGCCTTATGGAGTGAATGCAGGCTGCGCAGCTATCCCAGAAGCCAGAAAAGCAAGAGGGATTGCTGCTTTCGCTGCGCAGCAATCCCTCTTGTTGTTCTGGCTTCTGAGATTCAGAATATTTTTTTTCTTGTTTTCCTCCTCCAAAAACTAGGTGCGTCTTATGGTCTGGTGCGTCTTATAGAGCGAAAAATACGGTATATTGTTTAACTATGAGCTGTGTGAGAAAGTACATTTTTTAAAAATCTGCCCTGAATCTGCAGCTTTTCTCTTATCTACTTTCTCCATGCTATGCATAATTTTGTAACCACCTATCATGTCACCTCTTACTTGCCTTTTCTGCAAACCAAGAAGTCCCAGATGCTGCAAGCTTTCCTCATAGTAAGTCATTTCCCACTACAACTATCCTCCCCGGATGCTTTTCTATTGCTGCTGAAGCGGCAAGCCTGTTTATACTCTGCAAACACAGGCCTGACACACAGCTTGGAGAAAACTGCAGGAGGAAAGTGGCTGGTGAGGAAAGGTTAAGCATCCCTTCCCTTCACCTGCCACTATGCATCAGATGCTCAGCTCCTAATGCGATTTTATTTTTCTGGATGTCCATTGTTGTAGAATCATAGAATGGTAGAGTTTGAAGGGACCCTAAGGGTAATCTTGTCCAACCCCCAGCAATGCAAGAATCACCCTGAAAGATGGCCACTCAACTTCTGTTTAAAAACCTCCTATGAAGGAGAATCTGCCACCTTCTGAGGGAGTTCATTCCACTGCAAAGCAGCAATAACCCCCAGAAAGGTCTTCTATAGTCGGACTTCCCTTTCTTGTAGTTTGAATCCATTAGCTCAGATCCTATCCTCTGGAGCAGCAGAAAGTAAGCTTGCTCCATCATCCACGGTGACAGCCCTTCGGATATTTGAAGATGGCTATCATATCACTGCAGCCTTCTCTGGGCCAAACATTCCCAACTCCCGCAACCGTTCCTCATAAGGCTTTGTTTCCAGACCCTTAATCATACTGGTCATCCTCCTCTGCACACATTCCAGCTCGTCAATATCCTTCTTAAACTGTGGTGCCCAGGACTGGACATAGTATTCCAGGTGGTGTCTGACCAAGGCAGAATAGAGTGATTTCCTTTGATCTGGACACTATACTTCTATTGATGCATCCTGTAACTGCATTAGGTTTTTTGCTGCTGCATCACACTGCTGATTCACACTAAAGTTTGTGGCCTACTAAGACCTAGATCTTTTTCACATGTACTACTGGCAAGCTAGTATATATTTGTGCATCTGGTTATTCCTACCCTAAGTGTAGAATCTGACATTTGTCCCTATTGAAATCCATTTTGTTAGTTTTGTTGCTGACATGGTCTTGGGTTAGGTGAACCTTAAATTAAGAACTGAAAGTTGAACACCACTCTCATCTCAGGTGCTTCTCGTCGGGGTTCTGTGCATGTGTACTGCCTGCTTAATGCTTGGAATGGTCCCCTTGAAATCAGCAGTTTCCTTCCATGAAAATATGATTATGATTATGGTGTGAGGCTGCGCTCACATTATGTGTTTTGTGCTGTACCAGGTGGCCAATTTGCTATCCTATCATTATGGCAGGGTTCATTTAAACACAGAGAGATCTATGCTTATAACGTCTCTCTTTTCTTGCTTTAAGGCTGCTGCAGGCTTGAGATGAAACCTGGAGAAACCAGACCTGAAGTGCAGCATGCAGGAAGCACTCTTCTGTTGAACTGGAAAAAGGCAGACCATCAGTCCTTAAACCAGTCCAGTCTAGAAGCTTCACAACATCTTCCAAGCAGAGTGATTGATGTTGTACATACCTATACATACCTTCTGTGTTCAAGGAAGACCCCAAAAACTAGCAGACAGAGCCCATGGTTATTCCTAAGCTCAACCCCATGGGGTTCTCAAGTTTACTCCTAGAATCACTGATCCATTGCACACAGAACATGCAGTCGGCATATGAATCCGAGAGAAAGGAAAACGCAAGCAAATCTAACAGTCCAAGTAAGTAGCCAGGAGAATTTGCATAAGACAACCAGGGCTTATAAAGCACCAAATTAGAATTGTGTTGTGCGGGGAGGAGATGTTTTCCAGTTTAGGAAAGCTGGTCAGGTCCCTTCTAGCAACCAAGTTGCACCCCACTGCCACCCTTGCTCACACCAACCCAATTTCATGTATGGGAGGTGTCAGGAAGAACTCAACTCCAACGACCAGTTGCCCTAGGACTGCAGAAGCAAAGCAAAGCACAGAGGAACAAGGGCTGCTGGGGAGCTTTCGGCATTGTTTTAATAATGTGTTGTACGCTGCCTAGAAGATAGGAGTATACACATTTTTAAAAATACATAAACAAACTTGAAATGGTTCACCACCTTCACTGCCAACACATCTTTATTGTTGGGTATATGTTAGGCAAAAGGGACGCAGGTGGCACTGTGAGTTAAACCACAGAGCCTAGGGCTTGCCGATCAGAAGGTCAGCGGTTCAAATCCCTGCAACGGGGTGAGCTCCCGTTGCTTGGTCCCCACTCCTGCCAACCTAGCAGTTCGAAAGCAAATCAAAAGTGCAAGTAGATAAATAGGTACTGCTGTGGCGGGAAGGTAAACGGCGTTTCCGTGTGCTGCTCTGGTTCGTCAGAAGCGGCTTAGTAATGCTGGCCACATGAAGCTGTACGCCAGCTCCCTCGGCCAATAAAGCGAGATGAGAGCCGCAACCCCCGAGTCATCTGCGACTGGACCTAAAGTTCAGGGTCCCTTTACCTTTATCTATATGTTAGGCACATGGCACAGAAGAATGAAATGATACATTTCTCACTTTGGAAAACTTCTCTAGCCTTCCCCAACCAGCTGATGTCCAATGGTTGTTGGGATTCCAACTCCCACCAGCCCCTGCCAGCCTGG